GCTGTAGACGTAATACGTGGCCGAATGGGCGATGCCTTTGTATACAACTATACAATTGTTCGATTACCAATCGTAAAACTTGTCAATAAAGATTTCTTGAAAACAATTCTCTTCTCGACTGTCTTTAAATAGTTTCGTTAAATACTATCGCTAAACCCAACCCGAATGCAAAACCCCACGTGAAACCTAACCTAAAACTACATTTATCGAATACAAAAAGTACACAACGCAAAGGAGAAGTTTCCGATTACTCGAAATCGTAACGACCTACCAAATAAAGTATAAAGGATTATACTACGTGGTTCGATACCTATTACCTGACCTAAACTGAAATTTCCAAAGCAAACTTGCCGTAGAGAAACGAACGTGTTCACGCGTTCGTTTATTTCGTTTAACACGAACGATACGCTGAACGTGATTCTCCGTCCGATTCGACTTGGCGCGCTTGTCAAGCATGTAACGGGCGTTCGAAGTGAAGCTAGCCGCGAAAAGGATGAGTATAAACCGGCGAACAAAAAAGCCACTGCTTGGAAAGAGCCACGAAACCAGCCACCGAAGTTCCGAACAAAAGAAGGTAAACATCACGGCTGGTATTCTCCTTTCGGTGACCTTCGACGACGACGAACCCCATGGCCACACGCACACACATACCTACATACACACATACACGCGACGCGTAAATACATACATACATGCACACAGGAATGAGAGGCTTCGCGAGCTCGTTGGTTTCATCAAAATAATTATGCACCTAGAAATCATATCGAGATATCGTACCTGATTTATTTCGTAATTACTGAATCGAAAACGACGAGCATCACAGAGTCGGATAAATTAAAAATGGAACGAACGAGCTGCAAACTTCCGTACATGTATATCCTACGTATTTAATGCTATCGAACGATTGAGTATACGCTTTAAAAGGAACTTTACCTCATTGGTCCCTCTCGACGACCGTTCAAGAAAAGCTACCTAACCTTAAAAAGAGAAATCTTTTCTTTCGTGACTTTCGATACACGTTAGTAAAGTACAAACGCAGTCTCTTTGTTACATTTGGTATAAATAAAACTGCGTAAACGCTTCTAGTCGTAATTTCGTCTAATGTAAGAATTGCTTTTTCTAAATCGACTAAACGTAGCTCTCTCTCTTTCTCCCTCTCCCTCTTCATTCACGTGACTCGATAAAAAAAGGTCTGCTCGAAACCTTCGAGATCGGAAAACGTAATTTGCTTTGTTAAACGTTTTATAAAGAGTCGCAGAGCGTTGTTCACGATCATGAACAACGTAATTTTGTCATATTTATGGCTGTTACGTAAAAGTCTTAAAGAATCTTATTCACATTATCACAGTATTTGTTGCAACACCGACGTAAAAATCTGTCGAAATATAATCTTAAGAAATATAGGTGTTCACGAACGTTATGTCAATGCTTGTAAATGTACATACATGAATTTATAAAGAAAACAAAAGAAAATTAGGATTCGTAAGTATCAAATGCTGGCTTGAAGAATTCAGTAAAAATATTCTCGTAGGAATAAAGTTTCTTCGTAATTTTGTGGAATACTTTGCGGGTAAACGACACGTTTCGCTAGGATATATGGCACGTTTCGTATAAATAATTCCTACGACTACGATGATCTTTGGATACAGCCTCTCTATCGTCCAGACAATTCGTGTTACTCGTGCTTTCGCAGTTTGCTTCAATCTCGGACGTTTATTTTACATTTCCAGACGATATGTCGTATTGCACGAGCAGGAAGGAATAAATACTACGTAAAGAGACGAAGCAGAAATCTTCGAGTAGAAGAAAATGCGGATAATAAACTCGCTCGTGAAACAAACTTCGTTGCACGAGTATCTCGGTTAAAAATCGTACGTACGTATTTATATCGATTCCCATAAGGCACTTTGTTGTTTCGTTTATTCTTGGAAGAGTGCGACGGTAAGATTACCTGCCAGCAGATGATACCGAAACGCTCCGTGAGTTGTTGAACTTGGCGACACGCTGCTTTTTCCAAGTGCTCGAGGAAAAGCAGATACACACCAACCACACTTGGATGTTTTATGGCACAGTAATGGCGACACGTGCTCGAGCGCCACGTGCGTCTTACTTGACGCGCCGTTTACCCATAGAATTTCTCAATTCGCTCTTCGGGCAATACTTGACCGTGTGAGCAATGTCTCCGTGTGCGCCACAAATTGGACACGTATAGGCCCTAAAGCACAAACGGGGGTGGAAAAAAGAGGCATAAGTGACACGCGGCTTGTAACTCTCGAAGGGATTTTTCTTTTCTTCCTCGAAGCAGAAAATATGGGAAGAGAGAATGAAAGGACGGTAAAAAGGAGGGAAATGAGAAAAGTCGAAACGTAAAAGTTGGATTTACCTCAAGACTGGACAAGAGACGCGGCCGTCAGCGTCTTTCAGCAAGTGCTTTCGGTAGTAAGCCTCTTCTTCGCCATTGTTTCTACAGAAAACGCATTCTGTGGGCAAGGGTTTCTTATTTTTCTTGCGGCGTGGTGTCGTTTCTGGCATTGTACCATTGTCCAGATCTGGACAGTATTCAAAATCGCGCCCATTATGTCGGAACTCCTCCATTACATCCTCGACTACAATAGTCAAGTAACGTTACGTGAATTGCATTTTGCCAAAATATTGTACATAAAAAAAGAAAGTACAAAAATTAATGTCACATAAAATACAAAAAAAAACAGGAGAGAAAAGAAAGAGGGGAAAAAGACCGAAAGTCCGGTAGGGATAAATTCGAAGATAGATATAATTTAGACGGTGTTCAGCGAATACGAAAGAAAATGCATCGAAGGTACGTATATACTAGAGGCCGTGGAAGGTTTTCGAAGACGATCGAAAGATAGAAAAGAAATATACGTATAGAGAGCAGTCGATAAAACAGAGAGCCGTTTATTTTCGTTGAGGCTTTTTCCAGGCATTGGTGCGACAGAGCGTGAGACGAGAAAATAACGGCCGCAGGTATCGAGTTTCATGGTTTGTAAACAGAATCGTCCTAATTCTTCGAATAACGCAGAACCAAGTGTTATCGTTTAATCGGGGGTAAATAATATCGGTAACAAAGGCTGTTATTAACGTCTAGAATTCGTCGAAAAATTGCAGAAAGCCTTGCGACGTGTTTATATTTTGGATAGATTCGACGTGATAACATCATCGGCATATTCTAACCTGAGCTAGTCGAGCAAAAAGCGTGCGATCTTCTGTTTACGTTTATGCGATCACGAACATCTGTATCACCGCGACAAAAACGATCACTTGTACTTTCTTTTCTTCCTTTCTTCGTTTCCTTCACTCACGGAGAAAACAAATGCTAGACGAAATTATCGCGTTCCCGAAAAACTTTGGACGCGAAGATGAACAAACGAGTAATTATACGAATATATTCAATACCGTTTTACTCGGTTCGATGGACTCTAACCGAACGAAGGTTACCACGAATCGCGGATGGGTGCGACGACTTCTCGAAACGTTTTAGAATACAAACTTCGTTTCATCGATTCGTTTGTTTACAAGTTATGAAAGGTATCCGTCGATCGGGACGCGATTTCACGGCGCATAAGGAACCACGGATCCGAACATACGGTTCGAAATTGATACGTACTACGACGCGATGTTAAATCGTGATTTTAAATCTATTCATCAAAAATAAAAGGCACCAAATTTTGGAATATTTTGAGTCGAACGAACGAGGGACGAGGTTACTTGCGCGAAGGTTAGTCGGAAATGATTTGTTGTTTCTATGGAAATAAACGACCGTGGCTGATAGTTTATGGTACGTCATGAGGGATATATTATTAAGAAATGTTACAAGCTACCATTTAACGATATTAATTAACGAAAAAGGAGAAATATTTGTGAAAGATTTCGGCAAAAATGTAAAAATTAATGTCTACCGTGACATGCATCCAATTACCGAGGCATTAACGAGCAGAACAAAAACGGAAAGACATTCCTGTGCGATAAAAACCGTAGGAATATCTTGAACTTTTCGCAGAAGTGTTCGTGATGCGACAAGATTACGTCACATTACGCTACGTAACGTTACATCGTGTTACGCGATCCACGAGAAAATTTCAACATGCCAAAATAAGCGTAAAATAAGCATAAAATAAAGCAATTTAACATCTCTAGGCATCGATGCGAAATCGATGAAACGTCGTTTCGCTTCCATCGATCATCGACGTGTACGTAGGTGTCGCGTAAATGCATTTCCAGAAAATTCCACGTCTTCGAAACCATACGAGAATTATAATATCGACTTACCATTCGGAGGAGGCGTGTTTTCAGTCTCGATCGTGAAATTGATGAATAATCTTTTGATTTCCTCTTCGAGACTGGTATTGAACGGATAAAAGAAGTTCGACACCTGCGGCATCGGAAGTTTCTGCATGATCGAGACATGCATTGCGAACGAAAAAGAAGAAACGAGGAAAATGAGAAAAGCAGGGGAAAGTCACAAAACGGTGAACGCGTAACTTATTCACGAGACGAAGTCGGAAAGGTAAAGATCGCGAAGCGAAGATAAACAAAGAGACCAGGATCCACCTCGGTCGAGTTTCGAAATTCAACTGCCTAGCTAGGATGTCACCGTGACCAACGATCGCGAAGAAAGGGTCCGATGGTGGGGATGGTGCTTCTATACTTGGGCCCGTATTCATAGATATGTATATACACGAATCGTTTAAAAAAATACCAGTCGATCTGAAGTGCTTTAGCGAAAGTAGAGACGACCCAAAATACTGATGGATGTTCCAATTATAGCGTGACCTTGAATTTAATTTCAAAGCTATCGATAAGCTGTCGTTGAGATTTGAAAAAAGCGACGCGGTGTATATTAACTTGTACTTTACCTCGATATTCGCGATTTGGGATCAGGAGTTTCGATTCGCCGGATTTTCGAATAATTTCGATTTCGTTTTGTTAAACGTTCGGTAACGGAATATTCGAAACCTAATGGCCAGACAAGAAAGCGAACCGAGATGAAACGAATCGCCGTATTGGGATGTTTGTACCTGAATAGCTCGGAACGTTTGAATCTCCCTTTGATCTCGCCGCGCGATGATGGCGGCGTTAGATTATAATTTGTAACCGCAAACGTTATTTTCCAGGAACGAAAGAAGACACAGTTTTTCGCTTGTTTATTTTTAATACGAAGATGCATATCGGTTGTGTATAAAAATACGCGTGGAAAACGATCATTCGCATTGCGATGGTAATTTCAACGATCGACGCGTAACTCACTGGACGATCAGTTTCGATCGATAGATCGATAAATGGTATCTTCTTGGTGAAGAGAAAAGAGACCAGGGGATATTCGCTAATCTTCATCTTTATTGTTACTGTGTAAATATGTAGGCACTGAACAAATAATGTTTCATAATATGTTTACAAACATTTACATTTACTGATCTTCTTTTTGTTCAATCATTGAATATTCTCTGCAAGCAGCTTGGCCATGTTAGCCAAGACCGCTTTTAATCCATCTGCTCGACCTTTTAACATCCTTACGCGTAAATACCATTATCGTCTTTCAGCATTGTATGCGCTCGACCCAATTTCTAATTACGATCTCAATATTTTATCAATATATATATATATATATAATATATATTTATATATATATTTATTTTATTCTTAAAAAAAAAAAAAAAAAAAAAGAAAAAACAGAAAAAGAGATAGAACTATAAAGGAAGTGGAAAGTGGACAGAAAGAAAGGAAGATGGAGCGCGCAAGAAAGGAAGAACGTATTTGGAGGAGCGAGGAAGAGAGACAGAGAGAGAGAGAGAGAGAAAGAGAGAGAGAAAGAAGAAATAAAACAGGACGCGAGGAAAAAATTACGGATAATAAACGCAAATTCTAAACTTTGGCTAACGAGAAACGATATTCCGCGGAAACGAGAACGCGACGTCGTTTTATCGATCGATTGGTACACGTCGTCGCGTCCTCTGATGATTTTCAAAATACGTCTGTATACATCGTACTAAGTAAATTAAACGAAATTATTGTAGCCTTAAAAATGAGAGAGAAAGAGAAAGAGAGAGGGGAAGAAAGGAGAGCAAGAGAAGAAGAAAAAGAAAAGAAAAAGAAGATGAATGGGCAGTGGAAGAGGAAGTTCTCTGCACGAAACGGATGCGATACGAATGCGCATGCGCGTAATGTGCGCGTGTTACGCGTACCCGATGTGGTCGTGCGTGTGACACGATGATTCGCTATCGCTAAGAGAGGAAGAGAGAGAGATAGAGACATAGAGATAGATAGATAGAGATGGAGAGAGAGAGAGATAGATAGATAGATAGATAGATAGATAGAGAGAGAGAAAGAGAGAGAGAGATAGAAAAAAAATCTGATTTTGTTTCGTTTTGCTCTTTTTTACTTTTCGTTTTTTTACGGACAGCGGAAAGAGAGAAAGAACGAGAACGCAGAATAGAGGGGTTTCGAACTGTTTTTATCGTCTAACCGTTTCAGCCTTTTCTTCGTGTCTCAGGTATAAAACTAAACGGGCGATAAAGCCTTCGTGTAAAACTATACTCGAATACTTTGTCCTCTCTATTGTGCTCAAGTGTAACAACCTTTTTTTTTTTTCTTTTTGCTATACATGCGCGTTTTATTACATTTTGTTTCCTCTTCGTATTCTCCTGTATTATACGTATACACACGGAAATTCTCGTGTATTGAAAATTGACAGAGACTCAATTGCGTTGTTATACATGAGACACTGATAACGGCGCTGCTGTTCTCTTAACAACGAAACGTATAACGCTGGTTAATTTCATCGACGATCACTATACTAATACGCGTGTATCGTCGACTGCGCTTCCTCATACACTTCTTTTTCCCCCACCCTCGCCCCCCGGAGCTTTTTTTATTTTCCTTTCATTTTCTTCTATCTCGTTTGTATTTATCGTTAAGTGATCTTCGTACGTCGATGTCGCGGTGGTCCGTTTTGGAATAGCTATATAATTATTATAAATATATTCATATGTGTATGTGTCTCTGCGTGCGCGTCCATGCATGCGCACGCGTACACACGCTCCCCTGCGTGCGAATGCACACGCGCGTACACGTATACAATAGGTCCATGCGTTTTTTTTTTTTTTCTTTTTTTTTCCTTGTAATGCGCGTGTAATGCAATGTGTGTGACAGTGACATAGTGTATACTAGGAATGTACATAGTGTACGTAGATATAATTAGGTTGTGTATAAAACGATGATACATACTATATTCATTACTCGTTTATATCAAACGACACATAATTATGATATCAATTTTTTAGTCTCATTGTACGATGCGCACGGCGATCGGGCATCGTTCGCCAATAATAGGCTAGTCTTGTCCTGTCTTCTCATACAATGTCGATGTACTCCGGCGACTTTGTCACGATTACAAAATCGCGCGGCGTGAGATTACCATTACAAGAACCTCCAAATGAATGGCCATCAGTCTTTGAGACGTACGGTTTGGCATTTTATATATATGCGTGTATAGATGTGTGTATATATAAATGATAAAGAAAAAAAAAGGAAGAAGAAACATATTAAACGAATCAGTGACGTCGTTTAATAATTGTTCAAAGATAATCGTTAACCGTGTTGGTGCCCAGAAGCAAAGGGATTATACGGGCAGCACGAGGTCGCGTGCACGAAACGTAACGTTATACCGTCGTTGCAAGTACGCGGAGGATAAGAAAACGCGTGAAACGTTGCGAAGATGCATGCGTATTCCACGGCACCAACAGGGTTGACAGAAGTCCCATGTAATTTGTACTCTCGCGAAGATGACGCGCTTTGAAAAAAATGATCGTGTCTCGGATAAACCCCCCCCCCCAAAAAAAAAAAAAAAAAAAAAAAAAAAGAAAAAGGAAGAAAAGAGAGACGTTGCAAAAGAAAAGGAAAAAGATTAAACGTTAAACTTGGTGTCCGTGTATGGACGGTAAAAAAGTAGGAAATTTTTCCAAGGATCAATGGCCGATAAAAAACAAAAAATGAAAACGAAACAAAAGCAACGAACGATTGAAAAATTAAAAATCGAATTTCTATCTGTGATATCGTTTTGTTCTTTCTTTTTTTTTTTTTTTTTCTTTTTCGTTCGTATTTTTTTCTTTCTTTCTTTCTTTCTTTCTTTCTTTCTTTCGTCTTCTTTTTAAATTCGTTTGTTCCTTTTTGTTCAAAATGGCTCGACGTTGATCCTCAAAAACATGACCATCCATTCTGGACAATCCGCGTTGATTATTAATATTAAATATTAATACTTCTAGTCGTATACTCTTGCTAGAGTAAAAGTGGTCTTGTGCGCCCCAGCTACATACGTTTCACCGGGACGTGCATAGGCAATACAGAGTGCTTCAGGCGCATGTATTCTTGCGTTCTTGATATGCGATAGTACTAACCTAACAAAACTTGTCCTTACATTTCTCATTTGGTATGTCTTAGTCTTATTTTACTTTAGAGAGAGAGAGAGAGAGAGAGAGAGAGAGAGAGAGAGAAAGAGAGACTTAATGATATTCGAGGAGAGTTAAATTAATGAGTGAAAGAATGAACAGATCTATATATCATCGACGGTGTCCCATAGTTTACGAATAAAATATCGAACGGTGCAAAGTTATCGTATAAAATGATACTTATACGTGGTAAAATGGTCGGTTCAGAGCACTCGTAAAGTAATCGAAAAGACTATACTTGATTTTTCTTTTTTTTTTCCTTTTTCGGGTCCGACAACAGCGATAAACGATACAATGTATTTACTAAAAACGAAGAGGAAGGAAAAAAAAAAAAAAGAAAAAAACCAAAACAGAAAACGCAACGCAGCTTATTCGCATTCCGGAAAATACTAATGTTCCTCGTCGAACGTATAACGCTATTTCTTCCTTGCTCATGGAGCAGTTTACAGTTTAAACATCATTTTTTCTTTTTTTTTTTTTCTTTTATCATTAATAGTCAGTCGATTTTAGAATTTCCTCTAGAGAAAAAGAGATATATATGTATATATATATGTATAATATTCTCGGCGTGCTCACATTTCCATGCATTCCATCGCTCTATTTAACCTACGCTTCTGTATGTACACACTTCACAGTACCACTTTTTCGTTTTCATCCCTCCTCGTTGCCACCCTCCTCTACGACACTGCGTGTTCTTCCTGTGCGTCCGGTTTTCACAATTACACCATTTTTCCTCTGGATTACTTTACAAGTACCCTCTCTCTGTACGAGTCCTCTCAACGCAACTAAGTCTTATATCGTCGAAAAATATCATATCGAGAATACCTCTACTATACTATTACTTCTTACTTAGTGTTTTTTGTTTGTTTGTTTGTTTGTTTGTTTGTTTGTTTATTTTGTTTTGTTTGCTTTGTTTTGTTTTGTTTTGTTTCGTTTTGTTTTGTTTTCTTTTGCTTTGCTTTGCTTTGCTTTGCTTCGTTTCGTTACCTTCAGCGAACAGGAATACTCGTATCTTTTTGTTTCTTTTTTCTTTTTCTTTTTTTTTCCAGTCGAAATGTCTCATGGAGTACGGTTTAATGATGCGCGCGTGCGGCCTCGTTTTCGCTTCGCGTTTAGCCTCGGCGCAGATACGGCACAACAGCGCCACGAACAATTTCTTACGAAAGTAAAACTTAAACGCAAGTTCCGCAAGTTGGTGTACGCACCGACAAGGCATTATCGATTCGATCAAGCGGGAATCATCGCATCGATATATACCCTTCCCCCTTTTCTTTCTTTCCTTTTTTCCCCCGTTTTTCATTTCCTTTCGTCTCTTCCGGTCTTGCCTCTACGAGCAAGAGATCCGAACGCGATTGTACGACACTAAAAACAGCATGTCCCTTCTTCGTTTCTCCTTTTTCTTTGCCTTTCTTTCCTTTAAAATAGCGATTAAACGCGCACACTTTGTGACAAATAAGATTAATTTTAGGTCTTACTATTGCACCGATATTTACAATGGACGTTATGCGTGTATCTCCTTTTTTTTTTTGTTTTTCTTTTTTTTTTTAAGTGATCTTTGATATCGATCAGCAATCATTGCTTGCTTGCTTGCATAAAAGCCACTTAAAATGTCAACAACGTAATATATGTATGTACATAAAAAAAAAAAGAAAAAAGAAAAAATAAAAAATAAAAAAAGAAAACGAAATAAAGGAGGAAAGAAAGCTCGCGCTTATACTTAAACGACGTTTCTAAAAAAATATCATCTATAAGTGCAATAAATTCTATATACTGTTGTAAAAACAGAGTGAAAGGGAGACAGAGAGAACAGTGGAGATAGAAAGTGAGCGAAAGAAAAAAAGAAAATTAGAATTGTACCGTTTTTTCTTTGCGCATTGAATCCCGTCGCGAACGTTTCACGCGTTCAAAAGCAACCGTCATCGAGGATTCCTAACGAGAAGATCGTCCTCTGCGAAAGTATCCATCGAGATCGGCAAATCACCGTTTGAGAGGGAGAGGGAGAGGGAGAGGGAGAGAGAGGGAGTGAGGGAGAGAGAGAGAGAGAAAGAGAGAGAGAGAGAGGGAGAAAAAAGGAGGAAAGAAAAGAAGAAAAAAAAAAAAGAAAAACTGTAAAAGGCAAACTTCGTCATCGGGCGACGTGCTTCGAAAAAAGACAGATATGGTACAAATTAATCTCGTCGGCGAATCACGTATGTAAAAACGTTTCCGACGTTCGAACGATTTAAGGCTCCCGTTGCAAAAGTGTATTTTCATATAACCGCTGAAACATACGCTCGTGCAATGTTTGTTTAAAACGACGATCGCACGAGAAGAAATCTATTCTCGAAGGACTGTCACTCTGGGATCACTATACCGACGGGTCTACGGGTGAATAATATTGTCGCTCTTTACGTGCTACCATACAGACACATGCGGCAGAAAATAGTCTAGGCATTCTTTTCGCGATACACCCTACACATCGTTATTCAAAAGGAACTTCGATTGAACTTTATTACACGTTTCTTTCTTTCTTTCATTCATTTCTTTTCTTCTTTTTTCGTTTTTTTTTTCCCTTTCTTTCGTTTGTTTGTTTGTTCCTTGGCACGAAGGCCGAACACGATCGATAATCGCTACCGACTTTGGATTTAAGCGAACCAATTTTGAAGTAACGAAGAACCGTATCGCTAGGTACTAAACTTTTAAGAAGGAATCGTTCTCTAGTTCTCGACGCACTCTGTTCGTTTTACTCGGAAAATATACGCGGCTGGCGCGTTGCATCCGTGCAACGCTGGATAGAACGGAGCCGGATCCGAAGGCAGAACCCCATCGAACGCGAGCCCTCGCTTGGCAAAGTCCTCGCGAAAAACGTAAATCAGCCCCCGCGTTTCAGGATCCGGTGCTATAACCCTCTCCTCGGTTTCTCGTGTTTACTCGTGGCAGTTTTGCCGATGTCGACGCAACTCCAGCCTATGCCACGACCGACGATCGTACACGCGAGATTGTCTAAAGCTACTACTCTGTTGGCGTGGGCTGGCGTGCGTGGAGCGTCAACGAACGGGCCAAGGCTGCGACGACGACGTCACGACGACAAATAATTACACGGACAGCACGACGCGTTTCACCTTCTTCTACTTCAAATGAAAATTCGTGAGAAAGCGAGTAAACACGTTCGAATAGAATCTGCGAGTAAACACGTTCGAATAGAATCTGCGAGGGCACAGCTCGGATCTGTAGTTAGCGCTCGGTGCACGGGGATACGCCGGTTGCAGATAAGGCCTGAATAGTTAGGGTTTGCTGTTGTCGTTGTTCAACGACAACGGATCGGTGATCTTTTGTTGTTGCTGTTGCTGCTGTTGCTGCGTCACCTCGCTCACAGCGCCGCCGCTCATCAGCTTCGCGTTGTTGTTCTCCGTGTTCGAGATCTTCGCGTACTCCCGTTTACGTGGCAAGCTCTCTGTCTTCACGATCGTGATGTCCGGATTGTTTTCCAGCACCGAGGTGGCCGGTTTCGGGACGGGCGTCGGTACCTCGATGTAACCGCCTCCTTCTCTCTTGATCGGGGTCGAGGTGGTCGGTGTGGCTGTAGTGGACGCGTTCGCGTTGATCTTTTGCAGAATATCGTTCACCGATTCGTTGTTCTCGGGCGTCTCGTTGTTACCGTCCACCGCGCCCGACGCCACGCTCAAGTCACCGGCTAACGAAATCCTGTCCGGGCCCTGTAGCGTCGACAAATACGTTGCCAACGTATGGACGGTCACATTGAGGAACTCGGCTGCACGGAACAACGTGATCTCCTTTCTTCGTAGCTTGGCTAACACCTCCGCTGGTCCTGGCTCTGACCAAAAGTCCCTTACTCTGCGAACAGATACGGAGTCGTCGTAATTTTTCCTTCTTTTCTCCTCTTTTCACCTAACCGATTATCGCGAGTCGACGTTGCGAGTAAGTAAGTAAGTAAGTAAGTAAGCAAGCAAGCAAGCGAAGAGTAAGAAGAGGAAAGAGTCTGCTTCGATTTCTCGCACTGCCAAACATAGCACCGTAAAAACGAAGCCGATGAAAGCAGGTTAATGCACGATTTCACCTAGCACGCGTCTCAAATTTATTCCCAGGAAAATTTCTTTGTTTTCTTTCCGTACAGCGCGCGTCTCTCTCTCTCTCTCTCTCTCTCTCTCTTTCTCGGTTCTCGCGTCTTTGACGCGACGAAATGAAAACTCTCGAAAGGCAAAAGTTACGAGTGCGCGCGCTCGCGCTCGCGCTCGTATAAACGCGACGCGTAGAACGATACGGTCGTAAAACACGAAGAAGGCAGTAACCGGTCGCGACAAAGGCAATCAAGAACCGACAACCGTCAAGTCTCTTCCATTACCTATACGGATGTTTAAGGCAACCATAACTGTCGCGATATCTGCCGTAGAGGGTTCCGTAGGACACGCCAAGTATCTCGGCGGCAGTCTTCATTTCCAGTTCTTTGCTCTTAATGGCATCCATAACGCGTCGCGTGAACGGCTCCTCCCAGAACTCTTGGCGGCGTCCCGTCGTCAGGTAATCGTTCATCTTCACGACGTCTCGGAATTGCTCAGGGATCGATGGGTTCGTGGCGTTGGAATTCGAGGGAGTGGTAGGCGCTGCAGCAAAATCAAACCACGTTAGATTCTTCGCGCCTACCGAATAGGCGCGCACCTCTGCATAGCTATCCGGGTAGCATCATCCTTCGGAGTAACGCCTAATCACGACTCTATTTCGTTCGAGCGACCGAGTCACGTACCTTTCTTTTCCTGGTCGGATGCGTTGTCATCCTTGGACATGTACGATAGCTGCAAAGTATCACGATACACGGTGGTTATAAAACGGCACACGCACACGCAACCGTAGGCGTTACCAAAGCGATCCAAGATTAAGAAAAACTATCCTTACCACCGGCAGTGGCGTTTCGTTATTTTCGTTCATCATCATTTCATCGTCCCAACTCTCGTGGTCACCGCCCTCGCTCATCATTTCCTCCTGGGAAATCGAAAAGGTTTCAACAGACGAGTCAAAGAGAAGAAATGTCCCGTTTGGTTTCGACTGTCGATTGCGATCGATCAAACACGCGTGCAGATGATATCCAGCAGGATTAACAACGGCGAAAATTCGGAAAAAAAACGGATAGAAAATGGAGAAAAATACGAGGTGTAAAAAAGAAATATCGGACGACGATCGTTCGCGATCAACAGACGAAACCAATATTTGTCGCGTTAAAAAAAATGGAACACCTGAGCCATACTTGACGTACATTTCCGGTGATACAGGTGATTTTGGGCGTGAAGACGTCGTGGGCCGAGGGTGGATCGTCGAGAGGCGGGCGCCCTCTGCGTCTTTGCTTCGGAGGTGGCGGTTCGTCGGTGTCTCCTTCCCTGAGGACCGTCTCGACACCTGGAGTCGCCGCACCGGGACTGTGACCGCTGTTGCCTAGATCATTTTGCGTGGAATCGCTACGCCAGCTCACCTCGGCCAGGCCCTTGATGTGCAAATCCTCCGCGGTTTTCAGCAGGGACGACAATCTCGTCTGAAACATCGACACGCGACGACTTTAATCAAGCTGGCAAACAGAACGAACCTTTCAAAGATACAGAGTTCTCTTCTTTGACGGCACTGTCAGGCCTCTTTGTCGTTTAATCCTTTCAGAGGTTGCGAGAGTCGCGCGTTTCGTAGTCGCGGTACCGATCGAGCTCGCGAAAAATTTCCAACCACCTTCGAATATACGTATTATACCGTACGCGCATACGTGCGCGCATTCCGTACGCGGTAAGGTACGCGACGGGTGTATTTATCGAGACGAGCGAAATAAAGGGAATCGAAATTCGCGCGGAAAGAAAGCAGAACATTTTTTTCATACCGATCCGCGAGATACAGCTATATTCTCGCGATATCCTCCGACTAATCAAGGTAAGTAGCGAGTTCCCTCTCGGCGTTCGGTCGACATTAGCCCGAGTGGTTTAACCATTCCTGGCAAGAGTTACCGAGCAGCAAGGCAGCGGCAATATTTTTAACCGATCCGCTTTCAATATTTCCGCGCTGGTTCCAGGGGATAAGGCATAAATGGTATAATATACGAGGCAGCCGGCGTTTCAGCGTTTTTGGCACGAGCTCGCGCGGCCAGTCAGGGGGGCAGGCACATTTCCTTCCTTCTTCTATCGCGGAACCATTCTCGCGGCTTCTTTCCTACGGATAGCTGCGCGGGTTCTCGACATCGTTCCACCGAGGACGACGGTAAGTAGCGGGGTGCCGGTAGGAGGGAAAACTCGGCGCTGTAAGAAATTCGTCGGGCTGCCGTGGAGGCGCAGAGCTAGGTAAATCTAATTACCTCTGGCCGTCCGGAGTAAAAAGCCGGAGGAAAAAGCGATCACGCGGCAGAAGTAAAAATTAGTAATTCCATTAATCCTGGCCGCTTCAATTTGCCCAGGCATACTCTCGCGTAGCAGCCGAATCTGCCCGATTCGCCGGGATTCGAGCGGAGAGCCGAGGGAGCCGAATAACGCGAAACGCGAATCGCGAATCGCGAATCGCGAATCGGATCGACGCGACGCCAGGCGGTGTGTACGGGAGGGAGGAGGAAAAAGCCGATATATACCGATGTATACCGGTTATATCGGGCACCGGGCAGCTGGACGCATCGGTGGAATAGGTCCAATTATTATTTGCCAATTTTCACCGCGATAATACCGGAGCGACCGAGAGAATGCTAAATAATATGAGAACTTTCTACAAACGGTTCTCCGCGGCTTTCTATCAGCCACGGACGGAATTGGAAAAATGCTTATGTGGGTCAGCGTCTCCGCCGGCGTACCGGGAATAATGTGTATTTCAGAAACGACCGTCACCACCATCGGCACCGGCGGCGCCGCTACCATTGCCGCTTTCGTTTCTGCCCGGTCTATCTGCTATACGTGTGTGTAATACTTGCAGCCTCGTGTGGCAGAAACGGCTGAAAAACGAGGCGCGAGCACGCGAGCGCGCGCGCACGGTCCCGACCTCGCGCAAATCCGATCCAACCAAAGCTCTTACCGACCACGATCGAACGGATCTCCCCGACCCGATGCGCCGGGGAGACACACCGTGCATTTTCACCGGAGCCGGATTTTTCGCAGGCAAAACGTGGCCACCGCGCGCCGGAGAAAGCTCTCGCGAATGCCCGACTGCCTGATCACGACTAGAAACACGGAAGAACGAGAACCCGTTGCGCTCGGGATCCTCTTTCCGATTCCAATCCGATTCTTCCACCAGCGGCTAAGAAGCGACACACGCGCTCCATCTCTCCTCTCGATCGTACATCGCGGACGGTGTCTTTGAGGATGCTCCGGCGATACCGCGATTTCGTTAGGGTCAAGCGAAAAGAGAAACTTGCTCGAAACTTCTCGTCCCGCGCGCCGATCGAATTCGCTCGGTTTTCCTCTAGCACCGATCGCTTTGTTTTTCCCGTTACCGAGAAAACTCGGATGCCATCGATTTTGCATGGTCGTTATTGCTTAATTAATCGATGCTTATTATTGGCCTAGCCTAGTTTATCGGTTCTTTTTTCTTTCTCTCATTTTTCCTTTTTCCTTTTTCCTTTTTTCTTTTTTCCTTTTTCTTTTTTCTTTTTTCCTCCGAAGCGGGAATAAGCTACGAGCGAAGCAACCGGCGTTTTCCACTGTCGCGCGTTCCTCGTCCACCACGATTAACGCGCGATCGTAAACGAAAGAGACGCGTACGACACCGCGATGGAACGATTAAAAAGCGATTAAAAAAGGAGTAGAACGACTCGCATCGATTCGATTTTCATAGCGACGGTTTGCAGCAGGACGACAAAGTGGTCCTCCTCCGCTCTTTTGTTCGATTCATCCACCCGGACGACGGCGAGAAAGGAAAAAAGGGGGATAGAAACGATTGACCGCGCTCGGCAAAACAAATTGCATCTTTGCGAGGATTTTTGCCCGGGGATTAATAGCAAGTTCGGGTTGCTTTGAAGTGCGGCATGCTCGAACCTCGAAGAGCAAGAGTCTTCAATTATTAATAAATTGAGGCCAGCCGCGTTCCCGCGCCGTTCCCCGCGACATTTTTCCCTCCGTCAGCGGGATACAAGTGCCCTCGTAAATGTCCACGATGTAAATAAGTTGTCCATCGAGTCTGAAAAGAGACGAAAGAGCTACGTTCCGCGGGCTTTATTTCTTTAATCAGTTTTAATTTCGACGCTCGACCGGTCGCGGGGAGCATCGCTGGTCGGAAACCCGACCGACACCGACGACACCGACGACGACGACGACGACGACGACGACGGCGACGTCTCTCAAAGTCCCCGTTGAACTCGCCCTCTCTCTTTCTCTCCCACCCCTTTCTCGATATCTCGTTCCCTCTCTAACCGTCCTCTGTCCCTGAGAAGATTCGCGTTCCGATTTTGCGGAAAAGTTAGATTGATCACTCACGTGGTCGATGTTAATTTCTCCCTTGTACATGAACTCGACCAGCACTTTGATGTCCGAGAACTTGACGTCCCGCATTATGACAATGGGGTCCTTCTCCTCGTACTGGGACAGAATCGTGTCGAAGTACGTGCTGCACGCTGACAGAACCACCTGCGAAAACAAAAGCGAAAGGGCGCGTTAATGAAGGGACTAAACGATCCGTCGAAACTTTCGACGCTTGCAAATCGACCATTAAAGCGAAGCAAACCGGTTACGCGCGGGGGGGAAAACATGACCGACAAACGCGTCCTTGACAAATATTCGAGTTCAATGGACACGAGAAAATCAAGAACGTCGAAAATTAAGGACCCGACAGCGTTAATTCGTAGGTCCGGATAAGGGCATGCGACGCCGTGTCGCTCTTCATTAATTAGCCGAAAAATTGCCACGCTATATACGTGCTCCGTTATACCGTCTACACGCACGCACGCGTATGTACGTATACGAACGCGTACGTACACAGAGACGAGGCTAGCGACGCGTACGGATCGTGGAGATGATCGAATTCTTAAGCGGCGCTTCCGAACAGCGCCGATAAAATATGTATTTCCGCTTCGACGCCCGAGAGAGCCAGCTACCACGTGCAGATCTGTCATGAAAGTCAATGAAGCACTCGACGAACAGGCTACTCTCTCGTTCCCTGACCGTTGTGATTTTTTTCCTTACCGCTAAAGCTCGTTACACACCTGCCTGAACTCGACGCTTTCCACTCGATCCGGCGAGGACGAGGAAAAAACAGACGTTTCACGCTCAAGTTGCACACGTGCTCGCGATACCGTGGCGTATTCGTCGTTCACCCGTACCGCCTTCCCAACTTCCACTCTTCCGTTTTCTATTTAATCCGCTGGAATTAAGACGGCGAACGCGAGACGTTCGCGGTTCCATCCCGGCGACGTCGATCTCTCCGCCGGATTCGAGCGGAAACGCGGACCGATGAATCGAGCTGCAGCCAACTGGAGCGATTCTAACAAACGAAACCGAATCGGCGAGGAACCGCGTCGAATCCGAATCGAATGGAACGGAATCGGTATCGAGAGTCAGACTACGGGGTCTAACAGGCTAATCGAAGACGATGGATCCGGCCGAGACGCAGAGTTCGGAGAAACGCCGGACTAACCGGAATCTCGGTGTTTCGACGTGTGTGAAACGGGCTTAAAGCGATTCAAGAACGGCTTCGCACGCCTACGTATTTAGCACCGTTGAACAACCGGTATTTCTGTCAATCGTGATTTTATTTGCCGACACGTCGTTTATAAACGACACATCCTCCGTCAGTATCCTGTCTACCGGTTCCATCGTAATTTCCCCCTCGTCCGTGCTTCTTCCTTTCCTTTTACGTTAATCTGGTTATCGCGAAATAGAGAAGATATAATCTCGTAAGCGATGCTTCGCGCGGGCGAAATTTATTTCCCGCTTGCGATTTAAAGGATCGCATGCACAGCTTTCGCGTAACGCACGTCCGATGCAACCAAGTGTTCGGTTTAAAAGATATCGAATATCGCTGTTACGTAGTATATCAATTGTCTCTGGCAAATTTATTGCCACGTTCTCGTTCATTAGCTCGTTCGTTCGTTGCGCGAGTTTAAACCGAATACGCGTCGTTTCCCAATCGGCGTCGTAAATTGCCGTTGTAAATCGGCCTTGTTGTAAATCGGCGTTGTAAATCGGCACAGCTTAGCCCAGATTCACCGACGTCGTCCTCGTCGTCGTCGTCGTCGTCGTCGTTGTCGTCGTCGTGGACGGCGTCGTCGGCGTCGGCCATCATCGCGCGCCCCGTGGCGCGTCGAGCCGCGAGAGCCTTCGTTACGCGTGTTTTCGCGAGGAAAAGTGACTTTCCTCGCGGCGATGAAGTCGTCGTTTCTTCGACTCGCGGAATTCGAGACGCAACAAGTCACGGCGAGTCGAGGAATACGATTCGTTCCGTTGTCCCTCTTGCAATTCCTCTTGGAGCGCTGCTCGGGTGGACGCGACGTAACCCCGCGCGACGCTGTTGGCGGGCAAAAAGGCGAAATTCGAACTGGCGATATTTCAAACCGGGCGCCACCGTGGCATTCGAGAGGCTCGAACGGCGAGAATCTGTTCGAGAAACTCACCGCGAACCGTGACGAAAGTTTCTTAGGAACGTTAGAGGAATCGTCGGTCACTCGCGAGTACCTCGTTCGAAATTTACATTCGACTTTTTGCCGATAAAACGTCAAAGTGTAGGAAGAAGAGGGTAAACAAGGCGGTAAATAAATCGCGAGAAATATCGCTCGGACGAAAGAAATCGGTGGAAACGCGGAACGAAGGCGAGATCTGTTCTTTGCTCGATCGCGTGCGCGCTGATCGTCCACCGAACGGGACAGGACGTTACACACACGCACGCACGCACACACGCGCGTGCGCACACACGGTACCTACGATTTTCCCTTCGAATTTGCATTTTATTTCGCTGAAACGTCGACCCACCGCGTAAATCGCGTTCTTCCTTTTTATTTCCGTTTCTACTTTTTTTCTCTTTTCTTTTCTTTTCTTTTCTTTTCTTTTCTTTCTTTTCTCTTTCTTCCCACTGTCTTTTTCCTATATCTCTTTCGTTTTTTCTTGGTCGCTCGAGCCCGGTTTCTATCGACTCCCACCGGTACACCGGAACGTTCGCGTAATTCCTTGGAAATTATTCTACGGAACAACAATGGAATTTTACATGCGAGTAAAAAGAGGCAACCGAATACGTATTAATTCGTGCCACGGTATTGTTGCATCGTGAAAAGCCGGTTTGCTTCTCGTTGCGAATCATTTATTCCTTAACCCTTTAACCGGGCTACACGTCGAGAGTCTGCGACGAATTTGTTTTTCGTATTTTTCCATTCTTCGCTTTTTCGTTTTGTCCCGGAAACAAATGTTTCCCAGCTACGGGGTCGCATTATCGTTAGAGCAGACGCGTATTATCGAAACGTTGCTGACAATTCCGCGTATCGAATCGTCCGATTTTTCGCAACATGCCCGAAACAATTCGTCCAATTGCAAACGTCGAATTTGATTGCCGGTTACAGAAAGAACGTCGGATATTGCGCTTTTCCCTGGAAATAATTGCTCGGTTAAAGCGTTAATCGTTTCATACATCAAACAATTTTCCGTCAAAAGGAACCTCGAATATCCTGGCTCGCTCTTTGAAAATTGTCATTGCAACATTGATCACTCTGCGCACGCAAATCGTTTTTAATCATTACGAGTATCGAACAAGCTATTATTCCGCGAAAGGGGAAAAAGGATAGAGGGACACGCGTTTCGCGCGACGGTGCGGGGAAACACGTAGGGAAGAATCTCGGATGCGATCTCGCGGCTCTGCACGAATCTCGCGATTACGAAGGATTTCGCGAGAAACGACGCGACGAAGATCGGCGTTGAAGATCGGCGGGGAGAGACGGGGAGAGACGGGGATAGACGGGGAAAAAGGCGACAGGGAGGAAATCCGCGTACCACGGGTGGAAAAAGAAGCCGGTGGTGGGTGAACCGGTAGCACGCAGAGCGAAGAATCGAGGAAAGGCCGATGTACGTAGAAGACGCGAAACATCTGGAAGCAGCTGCGTTTCTCGATTCGTCTGGAAAGCGGCGAGCGTATCGCGATCGCGGAAGAATGGTATTCCCATGGAAGAAGCCGAGAAACTCTCAGGTACGAAAGTAGAGTGTCTGGCTCTCGGCCCCGCCCAGTCAATAGCCTGAATATTTAATGTTAGAAGTTCCGTATTGATTTTCGCGATTTTTACGTCTCCGCAAATAAGGCCGTAAAAGACCTTACGCCGCCCGTGTCTGTTTCTTCGTGTACGTACCTATACAGACTTGCGAGCGCGGACACGCGTACAGCACACGTAGGTACGCGCACACGCGCGCACGTGCACGTACACGAAAACGAATACACGAACGAAGCAGATCGGGTGGGGGGAGAGGAAGAGAGGAAAAGAGAAAGAAAGAGAGAGAGAGAGAGAGAGAGAGAGATAGAGAGAGAGAGAGAGAGAGAGAGAGAGAGAGAGGCGCGTTACTTTTCAGTGCCAGCTATATAACGCTTTTTATTATGCCGGGCCGCTTTTATGGGGAAATACTGCGATGAAAAAAGAGGAAGACGTCGAGACGCGCGGGGGAGGAAGGAAAGGGCAGAAGAAGAAAGAAATTG